TATACGGATGTGCCCACACACACTAGCCCAAAATACATGCTCAGGAACATACACGTCAACATACATATACACACATTTACAATAAGGAACACACACATCCTGAGTAAGCATTTACAATAGATGTAACGCTGTTCAGAAGTGAAAATTTTTGCTTGTAATCGTGCGAATTTACTCAATAGTTGATAGATTATAATAGATTATTCAGTTGAAAGCTTTCCTTGAAACTATCTCTTCTTATTATTCTTTGAATTTAATTGCATAATGTCTTCTGGTTTTTAATTTTTTGCGTATTTTGTATACATTATTGTGTTTTTAGTTTTGTATACACTAAAAAAATGATTGAACTGATGATAAACATTCATTTGGGTATTGCCAATAAAAACAGTTTTATACGCTCCTACATCTTTTTCTATTTTTCAAGTATTAATTGCACTTTTATATCTTAATTATTTAAAACAAAAAGTCTAATCATATTTATGTGATTAAATTGTGAACTAATCATTGAAAATTTTGAGCATTTTATAAAAGTAAGATTGTATACGTGATTCCACTAGAGTTTCATAGTGATTTTTACGCCAATTTCAATATAATTTTCAGAAAATGGTGTACGAATCGAGCACCCAATTCCAGATATTGACGAAGTGCTTGATGCTATTGGCTCTCCAAAAATGCTATTGGCTATTGGCTCCAACGATGCTACTGGCTCTCCAAAAATATATTGCAAACTACGGAGGTATTTTTTTGGATATCGTCTATAATAACTTGTTTGAATCTTAGTTACTTCCACTGAACAAGCATTCAAATATGTCGAGATGCTGATTTTAGTTATTATGAATAAATTGTGGCACAGTAAAGATTTGCTGCTTATTTTATGCAGATTTTTGAGCGAGAGCAGGACCTTCTCGAGCGACTTGCATTCTGTGGGGAACTCGAAGAAGAAATAGAGAATCAGATGATAGAGCTGGATTCTACGGATGTGGCCGTAAATCAGGATGAGGCTGCTCGAGCCCTTCTCCCTGACTACAATGGTGAATTGGTGCTCGAGGAAGAGCATCCTGAAGCCGTTGAAGAGGGATTTGGGGTTTCAGCTTCCCCGATGGAAACCAATGAGGAAGAGAAGCCGGAGAAAGAGATGCGAGAGATGGTCCCGTATTTTTTTGTTATATTTTGGTAAATAATCGACATTTCTTGACAATGTATCTTAAAAGATTTTAGAAGACCAACTTATACTATATTACAGAAAAAATAGGACGATACTGGTCCCTGTCCCTGCTATCCCAAAAGGCGTTTATTCAATGCCGGAGACCTTCCCTGTAAAAACAACAGAAGGTCTTCCCGATCAGTTCAAGAATCAAGGGAGCCATCAAATAATGCCTTCGAGGTGATGATGGGTGGAAATCAGAGCTTCATCAGAAGTGATTATAATTTATAAATGAAACTGACAAGAAAAAGTGTTATAGCGTGTACAATGTGAATTAAAATTAAAATCGCAAAGTGTAACAATATGATGGATTTCAGTTTGTGGCTTATGTGAGCGTTGGATTTGGAACTCTCGAAGGCTGGCGCATCCGCGCCACGAGGATGCACGAGCAGGATGGTAAGTATTGAAGCTTAGAGATTTGACATTTCTTCACAACACTTTCCTATTTATGTCTGGTGTCAGAATACCCACCAGGACTACTAGGTCTCTGCATCACTTGCGGCCACAAGCTAGTTATTTCGTCAACATTCATGGCTGTACAGAAACAAGCAGCCGTTGAAATACATACTCTCGATTGGTGGTT